CCTTTCTCCCCATCCTGGCACAAACGGCTCGATTAGTTCCAGGTTTGATGAAGGCCCGCCTTCCGAAAAACAAAATGTGATGTGATTGGTTCGCTGTCCCAGTGCGTTGTGATTGGCGAACAGCTTAGACGGTCTGCTCCGGTTTAGTTAAAGATGGCGTCAATATTGCCATATCAATTTGAGCTGGATTCAGACCCAGAGAATATTGAACAAGAGGATCGCGCAGAACCTTTGCACACACTGATATTGCAAGACATATTAGAGCGGTAACGTTGTTGTATGTTTTTTTTTTTGGCTAAATCCCGTTTTAGATAGGATGTCAACAACCACTTAAAAATAACTGCATTTACTATGTACAGATAAGTGCATATGTATTATGTGTATTGTTCTTAAATTCTAACATTGTAACATGAACTGCAGTGAAACTGTTATACAGTTGAATTTACAGGTGCATCTCAATAAATTAGAATGTCATGGAAAAGATCATTTATTTCAGTAATTCAACTCAAATTGTGAAACTCGTGTATTAAATAAATATCAAGAAGCCACCACACACAGACGTGTCAAGGAATTTGGCTACAGTTGTCATATTTGTCTTGTTAAGCCACTCCTGAACCACAGACAACATCAGAGGCGTTACCTGGGCTAAGGAGAAGAAGAACTGGACTGTTGCCCAGTGGTCCAAAGTCCTCTTTTCAGATGAGAGCAAGTTTTGTATTTCATTTGGAAACCAAGGTCCTAGAGTCTGGAGGAAGGGTGGAGAAGCTCATAGCACAAGTTGCTTGAAGTCCAGTGTTAAGTTTCCACAGTCTGTGATGATTTGGGGTGCAATGTCATCTGCTGGTGTTGGTCCATTGTGTTTTTTGAAAACCAACGTCACTGCACCCGTTTACCAAGAAATTTTGGAGCACTTCATGCTTCCTTATGCTGACCAGCTTTTTGAATATGCTGATTTCATTTTCCAGCAGGATTTGGCACCGGCCCACACTGCCAAAAGCACCAAAAGTTGGTTAAATGACCATGGTGTTGGTGTGCTTAACTGGCCAGCAAACTCACCAGACCTGAACCCCATAGAGAATCAATGGGGTATTGTCAAGAGGAAAATGAGAAACAAGAGACCAAAAAATGCAGATGAGCTGAAGGCCACTGTCAAAGAAACCTGGGCTTCCATACCACCTCAGCAGTGCCACAAACTGATCACCTCCATGCCACGCCGAATTGAGGCAGTAATTAAAGCAAAAGGAGCCCCTACCAAGTATTGAGTACATGTACAGTAAATGAACATACTTTCCAGAAGGCCAACAATTCACAAATTTTTTTTTATTGGTCTTATGAAGTATTCTAATTTGTTGAGATAGTGAATTGGTGGGTTTTTGTTAAATGTGAGCCAAAATCATCCCAATTAAAAGAACCAAAGACTTAAACTACTTCAGTCTGTGTGCATTGCATTTATTTAATACACGAGTTTCACAATTTGAGTCGAATTACTGAAATAAATGGACTTTTTCACGACATTCTAATTTATTGAGATGCACCTGTATTTATACCATAGTCCAGTGTTTCCCACAGACTTACACTCTATTTTTGGCGGCATATATATGCAAACTCATTCTCTGCCAGCAGGAGGCGCTGTAGGAGTGGTAGAGATCAATGTTTCCCCAGTAACGGCTGTACACAAAGCAGCGCTCCACTCACAAACACTGCTTTATCAGGCATTACATGCAAGATTAAATTAAAATGACATCCAATTTTCTGAAGACAGTAGGTTTCCTTCAGAAATACAGTGATATAAAAACACCCGCACTCAGTGTATGGGAAACACTGTAGTCTCATAAATGAAGTGTAAATTCTGCAGATTAAATCATTGTCCAGCATTGTACTGTCAGCAATTTATTATAAAAACGTTTTTATAATTGTAACATACATATTTACATACATAATTATTCAGGTGCATGTGTAATAACTTGTGAAAACTTGACGCTACAGCAGCACTTCTTCGTTGTCGTCTTGTCTGATGCACTGACAAGTACAAATAACTGATTGTTTACCATTTTAAAGCAGAAGATAAATGAAAACAGACAAGGCAAGACTAAGACTAGACTAAGAAAACTATGAAAACTTAAACAGGCTCGGCAAGGTAGCTATCCGCTAAACAGGGATAAACGCAAAACAATACAAAACACTAAAACAGAAAACACGGAATGGCTCAGTAAGGCAGCTAACACTTGGGGAGTGAAAAATGCAGAACAATACTCGGCGATTAGAGCAGGATCAGGGTAGGTGTTATATAGTGTGTGTAATAGCATTCAGGTGAGCGTGTAATTGGTTTCAGGCGTGAGTGTAATCAGTGCAATGGAACATGGGAAATGTAGTCCAGGGTGATGTATAACAGTCTGTGTGGTGCGAGAGTCAATATCATGGAAGGGCGACCTCTGGTTGCAAGTGGATAGAAATTCATGGATTGGATTCGTGACATAGCCCCCCCCAAGGAGCGGCTTCCAGATGCTCCAAACACTTTATGATTCAGGAGGGTGGTGGAGCGGAGGCAGAACAGGGGGAGGGATGGAGGGCCAGGTCCACATGGAAGTGGAGAGATCGGGGACTGAGGCAGAGTGGAGAACCAGGGTGGAGCCGGCAGAGCAGGTGGAGTTGAGAACCACCACAACTGAGCAGACGGGTCCGAAGATCCCCACGGCGGAGCAGAAGACCACCAGAGCAGGACAGGAGACCACCAGGCCGAAGCAGACAGAGCAGAAGACCACCACGACAGAGCAGACGTGACAGAAGCCCACCAGGGCAGAGCAGAAGACCTCCACGATGGAGCAGACAGAGCAGGAACCCACCAGGGCGGAGCAGACGGGACAGAAGACCGGCAGAGCATAGCCAGAGACCACCACAACAGAGCAGATGGAGCATTGGCCCACCAGAGCGCGTCGGCAGACCACCACAGCGGACCAGAGTGATCAGGAACCCATGGCAGGGACTGAGGCCTAGGGAAAACTGAAACATAGGAGATAGACAGTGCATTTACGGTCTCAAGGACTGATGCAGGAAATACAGTGGGCTTATTTCTGGTCTCTTTAGACATGGCTGACAGTGCTAAAAGTTCAGTGTAGGTCTCCTGGAGAGTGGCTGAACAGACAGACAGTTCATAATTAGACTCAAGAGCAGATTTGAGACAGACAGACGGTTCAAAGTTAAATTCATTAGTTGAAACAGGACAGACAAATAGATCAAAATCAGATTTAACAGCAGCATTGACACAAACAGACAGTTCACACTCAGCCTCCATGGTTGGTTCAAACCAGAAAGTGAGTTCACAGACGGTCTCCATAGCCGTGACAGGACGGGCAGAGAGTTCACAGACGGCCTTCATAGCCGTGACAGGACAGGCAAAGAGCTCACAAACGGCCTTCATAGCCATGACAGGACAGGCAAAGAGCTCACAAATGGCTTCCATAGCCGTGACAGGACGAGCAGAGAGTTCGCAAACGGCCTCCATAGCCGTGACCAGACGGCCTCCTTAGCCGTGACAGGACAGGCAGAGAGTTCACAAATGGCCTCCGTAGCCGGGACAGTATGGGCAGAGTGTTCACAGACGACCTTCAAAGCTGTGACAGGACAGGCAAAGAGCTCACAAACAGCCTCCATAGCCGTGACAGGACAAACAGGAAGTTCACAGGTGGGTACTACTGACACCTCTGGAGGTTCTGCAGCGGGTGCCGCCACCTCTGGAGGTTCTACAGTAGTACCCTCAGGATACAGGGAGAGTTCTGACTCTGGATGATCAGCTGTGACGTGACGTGACTTTGGATGATCAGCTGTGACGTGACGTGACTCTGGATGATCAGCTGTGACGTGACGTGACTCGGGAAGATCAGCTGTGACAACTTGGTTCATGAAGATCAGCTGTGACTTGACTTGCCTTATGAAGATCAGCTGTGACATAATGGGGTGCTGTTGCGTCCGCCATTTTGCGATCATTAAGAAAACTATGAAAACTTAAACAGGCTCGGCAAGGTAGCTATCCGTTAAACAGGGATAAACGCAAAACAATACACGAGACTAAAACAGAAAACACAGAATGGCTCGGTAAGGCAGCTAACACTTGGGGAGTGAAAAATGCAGAACAATACTCGGTGACTAGAGCAGGATCAGGGTAGGTGTTATATAGTGTGTGTAATAGCATTCAGGTGAGCGTGTAATTGGTTTCAGGTGTGAGTGTAATCAGTGCAATGGAACATGGGAAATGTAGTCCAGGGTGATGTGTAACAGTCTGTGTGGTGCGAGAGTCAATATCATGGAAGGGCGACCTCTGGTGGCAAGTGGATAGAAATTCATGGATCGGATTCGTGACAGTTACCATGGTTGTAATAGCAATCATTGCTCCTGAATAGAATGAATATCATACCTTCATGCAAATCCTTCCCAGCTAACACATCAGTGTTAATTTTGACAGCAAATTTTGATTTAGTTTTAGTCATAGTCCTTTGACTAAAATGCCATTTAGTTTTAGTCATATTTTAGTCATCTGAATTGTTTTTAGTTTTAGTCGACTAAATCTACAGTAAATTTAGTCGGCTAAAATCGAATGGGTTTAGTTACAGTCCATTTGTTAAGCATTTCTCTAAAATGTCCAAACTCATTATATCGGCTTGATTTTAAGGTTTTATCATGATAGACACTAATTTAACTGTGGTGACACACAACATGCCTTTATGTTAAAATTAAATAAAACCACTTCTCATAAAGAACAAGAACATGGTCTTCTTATTAATGAAATACCAATTGTTATATAGGCTAATTATGCATTCTTTATAGCAACTTGTTTACCATATTCTTCATTCTTTCAAGCAGACATATTTATTTCTATAAATAAATTTAGATTAATCTTTAGGGCTACTAAACTTGTTCAGTCAAGAACAGTGCGTGATTTTCTGTCTTTCTTTTGTTGCTTGATTAACATCAATGATTCGGATTATAGCAACTAAACTAGGCTGCTATCCCTTTAAAACCGAATGCACAGCTGCAATGGATGCAATGTACTGATACACGTGTGTAATTCTCCGTTCAAGCGACGTGAAAGAGTACACACATGCTGTGAGAGGCGCTTTCTGTGTGTGTGCTTCTGTGTCTGCGCTCAGAAAACCGGACCGAATTGAGCTCTCTCTTGCATTGTCAGATTTATCCATATGTCTGCTCTTCTCTTACTCCCACATATTGAAATTTTTTTACGTTTTGTGAGACGTGCAGCAAGTGTATGTTGGCTTATGTTCCGCCGGTTCATGTACGCATCTAACCTCCGAACCACGCAGCAGATTCGTTCTGAATGAATCTCTTTCCAAATTGTCCCTCAATCGTACATAGTTTTTGTCATTCAAAAAGAGTTTTAGTTCATTATCGTCTCGTTGTCGTCGAAAAAATGTCGTTGAAGAAAATTATGACGAAAATTATTCGTCAATGAAATTAACACTGTAGTTAGAAATTAACACACGCAGTACCAGTTATGTGATTTATCGGTACTGTACTTTTATTTCATGCTCGTAGTTTCTGCACTTTAGCGAAGTGATATACAGCGCGGCACAACGTTCGCGCGTGCAATAGAAGAGTGTGCGCTACGAGCATGGTATAACATCTGGCAGGACAGGATAATTTGCTTTCTGAGGTGAGAGACTTTTTATTTTATAACAAGTTACGAAAATAACGATAGAATAATGACACTGACATTAGACCTGTCAACATCTCATCTGACCACGGATACTGAATCGGGACAGTGCATTTTCTTAGGCACTCTTTACTTAAACTGCATCTGACATAAGTGTCAATAGCTTTCATGCACGTTTTTTAAAATAAAAATCTTGCATCAGAAAAACATTTAGAATTACGTTTTTTCTTGTTGATGTCATTTCTTTGGCCATACACTCCGCGACCCACTTTTAGGTCCTGACCCACCAGTTGAGAAACACTGCTTTAGACTGAATCGTGATTCCGGCTTTTCAGTCTCCAAATTTAACACATAATAATGATGATGTTTGTTCTGCAGTTTAAATGTTTAAGACTCTGTAAGGACCTGCAGGAGCTTGTTTTACTCACACTTGTGCTCCTTAACAGACAAGACTGAAATCTCTATTGATTTAGATTTTAATTTTAATTTACACATCCTTTATTTTTAGATATGTTTAATCTGTTGTTCTTGTGATATTTCAGCAGAGCAGATGGAGAGCGAAGCATCTCTGGAGGAGCCGCCTCTGTCTTCTGTCTGAACAACACGAGCGTTACAGCGTCTCTGAATAAACATGATCAACCAGTGAATGATGAAGTAGAAGGAGGAATATTTCAGGAAGAGAATCAGTGAGCAGCATCAAGCCAGCAGAATCATCTCACACATCAGAAGAGCAAGAAGCCTCCACATCATGTGCCACATCCCCGTCTTCTGCTGGATCTCATCCACTGTGCTTCAGAAGCTCCTGGAAGAAGATCTGAGTGCAGAAATCCCTCAAACTCTGACTGAAATGTACATCCACTTCCTGCTGATTCAGATCAACATGAGGAAGCAGAAGTATGAAGAGAGAGATCCAGAGAAACTCCTGCAGTCCAACAGAGAAGTGATTGTGAAACTTGCTGAAGTGGCTTTCAAACAGCTGATGAAGGGTAATGTGATGTTCTATGAGGAGGACCTGATTGAGAGCGGCATAGATGTGACTGACGCCTCAGTGTATTCTGGGTTTTGTACTGAGATCTTTAAGGAGGATTCTGTGATTAATCAGAGGAAAGTCTACAGCTTCATCCATCTGAGCTTTCAGGAGTTTCTTGCTGCTCTCTATGCTGTTCACTACCATCTTTGTAAAACAATGAAAGCACTAAAGTTTTTTGCACTGCATAATATGTTTGAAGCAACAATAGACACAGCTCTACAAAGTAAAAATGGAGAGCTGGATCTGTTCCTGCGGTTCCTGCTGGGCATCTCACTGGAGTCCAATCAGAGACTCTTACAGGATCTACTGACACACACAGAGAACAGCTCAGAGAGCATCAGAGAAACCACACAGTACATTAAAGAGAAGATCAGAGATGGACATGGACTCTCCACTGAAAGATCCATCAATCTGTTTCTCTGTCTGCTGGAAGTGAAAGATCAGACTCTGTCCAGAGAGATTCAGGAGTTTGTAAAATCAGACAAACACTCAGAGAAGAAACTCTCTCCTGCTCACTGCTCAACAATTGCCTACATGCTTCAGATGTCAGAGAAGCCGCTGGATGAGCTGGACCTCAAGAAATACAACACATCAGATGAGGGGAGAAGAAGACTGATACCAGCTGTGATCAACTGCAGAAAAGCTCTGTGAGTGTTTTCTTGTATACTTATTGAAGAGACTTCAGGTTTTTACATAACTTTAGGTTTTTGCAATCAGATGCAAGTCTCTTTTAAAGGTATTTAGAAATTCAATATAATTGTTCACTAGGTTGACGAGAGGTGAGCAAACTTTTTCCCATGCAATCCATCCATTTTACACAGTCAACAAAAAAGTCTCAACTCATTTCCCGCTAGTGTTTTCTTAGAAAGTTTTTAGCCAATACCACCATTTTTTATCATATTCACCAATCTTTCATGGCCCCCAGAATATTATGTTCCCTTTCAGTCGGTCACTCTCGACGTCACGTCGGTGATGACCGACAAATTGGGATCTTGCCAGAGAGACCAATCCACTTCGAGTGTAAACTAAATGAGCCAATGCACATTGGCATGCGATTATTGCATCCAGCTGCCACTGATCATAGCGTAAGTATAAGAGGCAGCAGGTGCACCGTATTCATTCCTTTCGCTTAGGAGCCGAGCGGTAGTGCATCACTACTGCTCTCTACTTCGTTGTTGCAAAGCAGAGAGCCAGCGAGTGTGGGCGTTACGGCACGGCAGCGGTGGTTACGGTCGCACGGCGAGAACACAATCATCTTCGTGCAGACAGCCACACCAGGAGTGTGCGGTGGCCAGCTCCCTTGCGTGCTTCAGCACAAAGAGCATTTCTCTAGAAGAGCAACACGGGTGAAGGCATCTTTTATATAATTGTTCACTAGGTTGACGAGAGGTGAGCAAACTTTTTCCCATGCAATCCATCCATTTTACACAGTCAACAAAAAAGTCTCAACTCATTTCCCGCTAGTGTTTTCTTAGAAAGTTTTTAGCCAATACCACCATTTTTTATCATATTCACCAATCTTTCATGGCCCCCAGAATATTATGTTCCCTTTCAGTCGGTCACTCTCGACGTCACGTCGGTGATGACCGACAAATTGGGATCTTGCCAGAGAGACCAATCCACTTCGAGTGTAAACTAAATGAGCCAATGCACATTGGCATGCGATTATTGCATCCAGCTGCCACTGATCATAGCGTAAGTATAAGAGGCAGCAGGTGCACCGTATTCATTCCTTTCGCTTAGGAGCCGAGCGGTAGTGCATCACTACTGCTCTCTACTTCGTTGTTGCAAAGCAGAGAGCCAGCGAGTGTGGGCGTTACGGCACGGCAGCGGTGGTTACGGTCGCACGGCGAGAACACAATCATCTTCGTGCAGACAGCCACACCAGGAGTGTGCGGTGGCCAGCTCCCTTGCGTGCTTCAGCACAAAGAGCATTTCTCTAGAAGAGCAACACGGGTGAAGGCATCTTTTTAAAGATATCTTATCACCCGTGCGTTTCTGGGTGCGGTCGCAATCTGGCGCCTCGGGATGGTCACGATCACTGTCTCATGTGTCTGGGCGTTGAGCACGCTGAGCAAGCGTTTGTGGATGGTGCATGTTCTATTTGTGGGGACATGACCGTCTCGGAGTTGCATGAAAGACACCGTTACGTCAAACATGGCGGGGTCCCTCTGCCTCTGCTGTGATCCAGTGTTCGTCTTGGCAATCGGGGTGGCGCTGCGTCCGGTGGAGTCAGAGGTGATTTGAGGATCACGGTGACAGCTTCCCCAGAGGGAGTCCGTCACCCTCAAGCCCTCCGCAGCCGGTGGAGCGGCCGAAGGGACGTGCTGGCCCCTCTACAGTGTGGAGGGAGCCGGCTGTTTCCTTCGGTTCACCCCCTCGAGACCAGATGTCAATTGCTGCAAGATCTCTCTCTGGGGATGGCGACCCGGCTGCATTGCCCCCTTCGGGTGTGACAGTGTTGTCCGAGCCAGAGCCAGAGATGACGGCTATGCTTTCCCGGGCCGCCGAGAATGTCGGGCTCGTGTGGAATCCTCCACCACATCCCGATCCTTCGAGGCTGGACGAGTGGTTTCTCAGTGGAGGTCGCACTGGTTCTCAGCGCCCTCCTCCGGTGCCATTCTTCCCGGAGGTGCATGAGGAGCTCACAAGGTCGTGGAAGGCACCTTTTACTGCCCGAAACAAATCTTGTAGCTCCTCCGCTCTCACCGCTCTTGATGGTGGAGCCGCTTTGGGGTACACGGGCATTCCCTCGGTGGAGCGGTCGGTGGCCATGCAACTGTGTCCGATGGCCGCTACCACTCTGCGGGGTGACCCGTGTCTCCCTTCACGGGCCTGTAAGTATTCATCAGGCTTAACTGGCAGTGCTTACAGAGCTTGTGGGGAGGCGGCTTCTGCCCTCCACGCCATGGCATTACTGCAGGTCCATCAGGCTGGGTGGGTCGTGCAATGTCCACGTTAGTGGTTCAGGAGCGCCATCTCTGGCTGTGTCTGGCTGACATGAAGGAGCATGATAAGGTACAGTTCCTGAATGCTCCCATGTCTCAGACTGGCCTTTTCGGTGACACTGTCGAGAGCTTCGCCCAGCAGTTCTCGGCAGCACAGAAGCAGACAGAGGCGTTTAAACACTTCCTGCGCCGGAGGAAATCTGCTGCTTCCGTCCCGGCTGCAACCCCTCAGCCTGCTCGTCGCCATGGGCGCCCCCCCTGCGGCTGCCCCCGCTCCCACGCAGTAGCCTTCCACGCGATTCAGTTCGCCCGGCATCCCCCCAAGTTCAGGGGCATCCGGTTCACTTCAGTCAAGGCTGTCGATGCCCCTGTCTTGCGTGCGGAAATCGCTGTCCTGCTGGCGAAGGACGTGATAGAGCCGGTTCTTTGAGAGAACGGGGGGTGCGCATCAAGGTTATTATAGTTTAGAATTTTTAAATTCGTTTTATTTTAATATCGTTTTCAAATTTGCTACAAAATTCAGTTTAGTTTTTATTAGTTTCATTCATATTTTTGTTAGTTTTGGTTTAGTTTTTATTTTGTGAATGCATTTTTATTTAGTTTTTATATAGTTTAGTTTCAGTTTTAGTTTCAGTTTTAATTAAAGTTTAGCAGAATTAACAGATCATTTCCAGAGCGCAGGCCAAAGAAAGACGTAGGCATAATTTAACCTTCGTGAGGCAAACATATAGCGACACAAAATTAACGCATGCTGAGATTGATTAGATAGTGAAAGTATACAAATATACGCCAAAGAAAGCAGGCAAGCCTTTTTTTTACTAAATTAATCTACACAAGTCGCGCTTAATGTCATATTCAATGATGTGTGTTGAGATATTTAGTATGAAAATAAATGTAGCCTGATTTGGTTATATGTCTTTTCTTATTTAACCATAATCATGATATTGTCACTGTGTCTTGCTCACTTTTCCGTGAACAGCCGTGCATCAATCAAAACTGGGACTAATGAAATTCAATAATAACGGCAATCGCATTTAACAGTAAAGGCTTATGTTTGAATGTTCTTTTCATTTATGAAGAATTATAAGGGTGTGTATGTTGTGATTTAGCCAATGTACATTTGTTCAAAAGCCTGGCAGAGTGATCACAAGATGCTCGGCAAAAGTTTTGTGTTGTTTACAGAATCGATGCGCGTTCTCATCCTTTTTTCTGTTAATTATCATGTTGCGCTGCATGTCTGTTTTTCAGAATGCCTAATGTTGGTTTGATTGCTTGTGTTACATGATAAAATAAATAGTCTTGCTTACCTGATTTAATAGATTTAATGTGAGTGCGGTTCGGGTCGCGACTCGTGGTCTTTATGTCAAACAGTTCTCGTCTGGTACAGAATTAAATTAGTGCTGCTGTCAGATAATGGGTCGGGTGTTCTGATAAGTACTGCTGATGCACGTTTACCAAACAGGACCCGTGCAGGCTTTAAACTGCTTTGCATCTCTCCGTCAGATAACCCCATGTGCGTGATGCGCCATTACAGGTAGGCTATTTATTTCCCTAAACCTCCACACAGCTCGTATATTTTTCCGCCATGGGGGGAGAACGTAATGATTACGAAAACGATTATTTATTTTTGATAATTATTATTTTATTTGCGTTTGTTTTTCAATAACTGTTGTTAGTTTAGTTTAGTTTTATTTTTTCAATTATTTTGACGTTTTTATTTTATTTCAGTTTACGAAAATGTTTTTTCATCAATCGTTTTAGTCTTAGTTTTCGTTTTCGTTTACGAAAATAACCTTGGTGAGCATTCTCAATTATCTCAATGACTAGCTCATACTTGCACAGTCTCGCGATTAGTTGTGCGCACACAGGGACCTGGTCTTCGGGTCAACTGGGAAAAATGCAATCTCGTGCCAACGCAGAGGATCTCTTTTCTCGGCATGGAGTTGGATTCGGTCAGTCAGACAGCACACCTCACCCAGGAACGTGCTCAGTCGGTGCTGAACTGCCTCAAGACTTTATCAGGCAGGACGGCGGTCCCACTGAAATTCTTTCAGAGGCTCCTGGGGCATATGGCTGCAGCTGCGGCGGAAGTTCCGCTCGGTCTGCTCCATATAAGACCGCTTCAGCACTGGCTCCATGGCCAAGTCCCGAGGTGGGCGTGGCAACGCGGTACTCATCGGATTCAGATTACACCGGCCTGCCACAGAACCTTCAGCCCGTGGTCAGATCCCTTGTTTCTTCGGGCAGGAGTGCCCCTGAAACAGGTGTCCAGGCTTGCTGTGGTATTCACGGATGCCTCGGCCACCGGTAGGGGGGCCACGTACAACTGGCACGCAGTCTCAGGGGTTTGGACAGTTGGGGACTGCATTGGCATATCAATTGCCTCGAGTTGCTAGCAGTACGCCTTGCCCTGATCCGCCTCAGATGGCGCCTTCGGGGCAAGGACGTTCTGGTCCGCATGGACAACACTGCGACCATTACGTATATCAACCGGCAAGGCAGTTTACGCTCCCGTCGTATGTCGCAACTCGCCCGCCACCTCCTCCTGTGGAGTCAGGGGCATCTGAGGTCCCTTTGTGCCATCCACATACCGGGAGTGTTCAATCGGGCAGCCGACAAGCTGTCTTGAGCAGCACTTCCAGGAGAATGGAGACTCAACCCACAGGCGGTTCAGCTGATCTGGAGACGGTTCGGAGTTGCTCAGGTAGACCTGTTTGCATCTCCAAAAAGCACCCATTGCCAGTGGTTCTACTCCCTAACGAGACAACACTCGGCACAGACACACTGGCACACAGCTGGCCCCGGGGCCTGCGCAAATATGCGTTCCCCCCAGTGGGCCTGCTCGCACAGACACTGTGCAAGATCAGGGAGGACGAGGAGCAAGTCTTGTTAGTGGCTCCATTTTGGATCAACAGGACCTGGTTCCCGGAACTCATGCTCCTCGCGACAGCCCCTTCTTGGCCATTTCCTCCGAGGAAGGATGCTTTCTCAGAGACGGGGCATCCTTTGGCACCCGCGTCCAGACCTGTGGAAACTCCATGTGTGGTCCTTGGACGGGATGCGGAGGTTCTAAGTGACATACCCCAGGAGGTAGCTCTCACTATCGCTTCATTGCGTGCTCTGTCCACGAGACAGGCCTATGCACTTAAGTGGAACCTGTTCATCGAATGGTGTTCCTCCCACCAGGAGGACCCCCGGAGATGTTCAATCAGAGCGGTGCTTTCCTTCTTGCAGCAAGGGTTGGAGCGTAGGCTGTCCCCCTCCACCCTTAAGGTTTACATTGCTGCTATTACGGCCCATCACGACCCCATAGAGTGGAGGTCAGTGGGGAAGCATGATCTGGTCATCAGGTTTCTTAGGGGGGCCAGGAGGTTAAATCCTCCTAGGCCTCCCTCCCTGCCCTCTTGGGATTTGGCATTGGTGCTGAGAGCCCTACAATCTGCCCCCTTCGTCAGTCGAGTTGAAGTTTCTTTCTATGAAGACCCTACTCCTGACTGCATTGGCCTTGATCAAGAAGGTGGGGAACCTGCAGGCATGTTCGGTCGACGAATCGTGCCTTGAGTTTGGGCCGGCTGATTCCAGTGCAACACTGAGACCCCAGCCCGGCTACGTGCCCAAGGTTCCTACCACTACCTTCAGGGACCAGGTGGTGAACCTGCAAGCGCTGCCCTTAGAGGAGGCAGACCCAGCCCTGGCTTTGCTCTGTCCTGTACGTGCACTGCGACAGTACGTGGATAGAACTCAGAGCTTTAGGACCTCATAACAGCTCTTTGTCTGTTACGGTGGACAGCAAAAGGGGAAAGCTGTCTCCAAGTAGAGGATGGCCCACTGGATAGTGGATGCCATCACCTTGGCCAACGAAGCACAAAGTGTGCCCTGCCCACTCAGGCTGCGTGCTCACAGGCCAGGGAAGTCGCATCATCCTGGGTGCTGGCTCGTGGTGCCTCGCTAGCAGACATTTGTAGAGCTGCGGGCTGGGCGACTCCTAACACGTTCACTTGGTTCTATAGCCTGCGTGTCGAACCGGTTTCATCCTGTGTTCTCACCTCAAATGGGTAGTGGCACTTAGAGACACTGTTCAAAGCCTGCTTGCGGCGTCCTGGATGCCTAGTTCTCCAGCGAGTCCCCTGACCGGGCAGACCCTGTTGAGTCCTCCAGCACTCTGGGGGCCAGACGTGGTGGAGCATGCGGCGCCAGGCCTTTCAGCCAATGATTTCCTGAAATCTGGTGTCAAGTCAAGTCAAGTCACCTTTATTTATATAGCGCTTTTAACAATACAGATTGTGTGGTAGCAACAAACAGGAAGTGACGTCTGTATTGTAATTGGCCGAATCATTCATCAGGCTAGTGCCCATATGAGTGACCCGGTTGGGATCCCATATGTGTATTTCCACGGTACACTTAAGGCCATGTTTCTCCTGGCAGACCACGTTCTGCTGTCTCTAAATGATGCAGCCATGAGCCATCTCAGAGAATTCCACGTGCAGTAGGGCCCCTCGGGGTTACTCCACGTGAGTAAATGTCACTTAACCCCCTCTGGGAGGAGGTGACTCCGCAGTGAGTCCTCTTCCAAATGGAAGGGCACGCTTTCCCAGTGTTATCCAAGTCCTGCTGTTGGGTTGCGAGGAACAACTGTAGTCGACCTTCTCTGTGTAGAGCCCGGTCCTCTCGTCTGCCTTATAGGAAGGATCAGGAGGCCTACACAGGGCACTGAAGGGGGCAGCACCTGTGGCATGCTGGTAGGGATCCCAATTCGTCGGTCATCACCGACTGAAAGGGAATGTCTCGGTTACGTATGTAACCATCGTTCCCTGAATGAGGGAAGCGAGATGTCACGTCCCGTCGCCACAGTTGCTGTAACACCACTGAGCTGCCGGGTCACCGGCTCGGCTCCTCAGCGAAAGCATGAATGAATGCAGTGCACCTGCTGCCTCTTATACTCATGCTGTGATCAGCGGCATCTGGATGCAATAATCGCATACCAATGTGCATTGGCTCGTTTAATTTACACTTGAAGTGGACTGGTCTCTCTGGTGAGATCCCAATTCGTCAATCATCACCGACGTGACGTCTCCGTTCCCTCCTTCAGGGAACGAGGGTTACATACTTACAGAGACATTATTTACATATGTAAGCAGTCAATATGTCAAACAAAAAACAGAGCCTCTGCTTTTAAACAAAAAAATAAACATTTTATTCTAGCTTTATATATTGTTTTTTATCAACACTTGAATGTAATTTTCAGCCAATGCTTTTTGTCGAGAAAAAAAAAGGGTTAAACCAGAGTTGGGACTTTCAAGTCACAAGCAAGTCTTCAAGTCATATCCCAAGTCCTCAAAGAGTTAAAGTTAATGAGATAATTAAGTGACTAATTAAATAATGATTGTGCATTAGAGATGAACACCTTCTGTTATTGAGAATTACAGAGGATCAGATGTTGATGTTTTACTGGTTAAAATGATGGCACCATCATGGAGATCAGTGTTTGCTTTAGTCGTGCTCTTGACCCTTGACTCCTGTGTTAGATCTTTCTTTATAGCAATGCATGAGGTGTTGTGACGCAGAGAGATCAGTGCTATGCAGTGAGCAGCTATTAGCTGTTTTTATATGATGAGATAGTTATCATAAGCTGACCTGATTACAATCAAAAAATGTTATATGTCTAGGGTTTGCATAATCAACCCTGTGAAACTACAGCATGTAAATCAAAGTGCAGCTCTAATAGTTACTATGAATGAATTTTAAATCTTTTTAATGCATATAAAAATTTGATCTCCAGTGCTATTTAGACACACACAGACATCAAGAACCAGCATATGAATCTCAACAATGGTGACAATCAACAAAATGCTTCATGCTGCAATGCATGCTGGGTAACACCATAGTAAAAACTCCCATCATGCACTGCAGTATGACTAATTATTTTCACCACTGTTGAGGATCATATGATAAGCGTTCATATCTAAAAGCCTGAGCTGATACAGTTTTCTTTTTTTCAATATCGAAGCATTACGGTGGCATTAGTTTAGTGGGACTTTTTTCACAGTTCAGTAATAGCTGAATGTCAGTCAATAAACCAAAGAGAGACCGCTTTATGACGTTCATTCATCATGAGTTATAGGCAGAAGTCTAAGCTCATCTGCTACTTCAAGGTTTGATTCAACAAGTGCACAAATGTTTGCTGTGAAACAACATTGCAATCGCTTAGAAGCAAATTACTTTGAATTAGTAAAAGGGTTAAGAGCCCTACTAAAGCAAACCTTGACCACAATTATGGTGGCATCATGTAGTTGATTTCATCCAAGGCTGCGGCTGAAGTCAGATGTAATTCTTGTGTTTCTCTTTTCTTCAATGATGCTGATTGTTAACAGCAGGTGTTCATCACTAATACACAATCATCATTTAATTAGTCACTTAATTATCTCATTAACTTTAACTCTTTGAGGACTTGGGATTTGACTTGAAGACTTGCTTGTGACTTGAAAGTCCCACCTCTGGGTTAAACTAAAAAGGATTGTGATTGCAATCTACCAGTTGAACACCACTGACCATATAATTTGGAAATGTTGTATTTAGTGGCACCTCTATTTGTTTTGCCTTTTAATTTTATTAATTAATTAAAATATACATATATACATAGCATATACATACATATTTATATACATAGCTATATAGTACATTTACTGAAACTTGTATTTGGGTCTCATTCAGATTGTCCAGCTGTAATCTCACTGGTCAGTCATGTGAAATTGTGGAATCAGCTCTACAATCCTCAAACTGCGCCCTGAGAGAGCTGGATCTGAGTAACAATGACCTGCAGGATTCAGGAGTGAAGCTGCTCTCTGAAGGACTGAAGAGTCAAAACTGTCCGCTGCAGATTCTGAGGTATGTAAAAAAAATCTTCCAAGTCTATTTTCCAGTAGAGTCCTGATATTCTGGAAGCTGAGCCTATCTATAGCTCAAACAGCAGAGCATGGCGCTTGCAAAGCCAAAGTCAAGTTTTCTGCTCCCAGGGAATTCATGAACTGATCAAATGTGTGACTTCAATGCAATGCAAGGCACTTTGGAGTATCTTACTAAGCACAAATATAAATGAGTAGCTTTGCTGTACAGATTGGTAATACTTTGGTGTGAATGTCATTAATAAAAAAATAAAATGTGTGTAATTTACTCACCCTCATGTTGTTTTAGACCTGTATGACTTAATCTCTTCTCTGCAATTCAAAAGGAGGATTTTTTTCCCAAGCTGCTTTTAAAAGGTGCCATGTATTATTTTCAACCACTGGATATTGCACAGGAGCACAAGCATCTTAGACAATATAAACATGTGCTTCGGGCACACCTCTGCCCTCCCTTCATGCTATGCTAAAATATAAAAAACATGGCTGAGATGTTTTCATTCAGAAAGTGTAGTATTTTATAGTTTTTGTGATCTCAGTCAGAATCACAGTCAGATTTTTATCCAGCAGCTGAGGTTAGTGTAAGTTTCAAAAGGAGGGGCTCACATGCACACCCGCCTGTCCCAGCTGCCAATACACTGGAAAGAAAAGATTAGATATAACTACACATATAAAGGGGTTGTGACTTCACTTTCTGCTAAGAATGTCATTACTTCACTATGTCTTTACATAGCAAATAGTTGTTTGCTGATTGTTTGCATATATACATTAGAGGTCGACCGATGTATAGGTTTTGCTGATTAATCTGTACCGATAGTTGACTGCTGTTGATCCGCAAAAGTCCATGCTGATAGTTTTTCGGGTTGTGTCCATTGCTGCAGCGACTGAGAAGGGTCCGTTGTAATTAAACAGTATGAGACCGGTCTTTAGAAGCGGAAATCACTGACAGCGCATGCTGTTTGTGACACTGCATGCTGCACAGAGTGGGGCACTTCAGATGTGGATTTAAAACCTCGACAAAGAAATGGTTTATGCACAGCATACTGTAGTGCATGTTTTCATATCATTACTAAGTGATTAATTTGTTGACTAGATGCTGCATTAGTGGAGAAAGTGCTATCAAGGCTGAGAGGACATGCACATTAGCAGCACCTCAAGTGGTTAAAACACTGTGACCAAAACATGCATGACCAACCCAAATGTTTAATGTCACGATTGTTACCATCTATTTGCGTTAGTTCATATCCAGCTGGTCACATTAATGCATTTGTTAGCCAGCAAAGTTTCATATTTAAAGCTAGTGTCGTGAGAAGGCAAACTGATATGTTCATTCAGCCGACAGAAATCCTGCTGCACCGAGTGCCATTCACACAGTTTTACATTACATTACATTATATTTGTCCCAAATCATTGTTAATGTTCTTAAAGACTTCATCCTGGGCTGGAAGATTGTGTATTGTGCATTTTTCAGTAAAATATTTGTATTTCTGTGGCTCAAAAAAAAGTCTGTATGTTTCGAGAGCTGTAATATAGACTGCACTTTCTTCTTCTGTTTGCTCTGTTTTTTAAACACCGAACTTCAAACTCATCTATGCCACTTTTTTGATCATTCTTGAAGTGAACCTTTGCCCGTTTGGTGATTTAAAGGGGTCATGAACTGAGAAACCAAAATTCTCTTGATCTTTTAACATATGAGGTCATCGTACTATAAAAACATCCTGTAAGTTTTAGAACTCAAAACTTTCCCGTTATTCTAAAAGCATTCTAAAAATGACAGCTTGTGGAATGTACTGCTCTATGATGTCATAATGTGGATAAACACCGCCTCCATAGAAGATCGACGCCTGCTTCGATATCACTGCCTGTTTAGCCCCGCCCACCGATTCTACATCACTGCCATCAAGCTATTTCGTTATTTTGATTAGATAATCATCGTGTTCTAGAATAGAAGAAATTAAAGTGTTAGAGTAGACATACAATATCCATTATGTGTGTAATTTCAATGCAATGGCCTTTGTGTAGATATTTAAAGATGGTCATCTTGTTAGATTGTGTTAATTTCAACATTTTCTAATACATTTTAAAATTTCGAAGTTGCTTCTGCTAGCATTAGTTAATGAACTATGAACTAACTTTAATTATCAATATATCATTAATTTTTTAAGGTTTTTTTTTTCACTTACAAAGTTTGGTTCAGTCCTTTTTCATTATACATTTTAAAAATTATTGTTTGATTTATCGGTATTGGCCAGAGTGGTACAACCTAGCTATTGGTACATGTAAAATCCATTATCAGTTGACCTCTAATATATAACACCTTTAAATACATAAAACTACATAAATGGACAGTGGCTGTCAAGCTCCAAAAAGGGAAAACCTGAATGACATTTCAAACCTATTCTCTCTGTAGGTTGTCTGGCTGTATGGTGTCAGAGGAAGGCTGTGGTTATTTGTCTTCAGCTCTGAGTTCAAACCCCTCACACCTGAGAGAGCTGGATCTGAGCTACAATCACCCAGGACAATCAGGAGTCCAGCTGCTCAAACACAAACTGCAGGATCCAAACTATAACCTGCAGATACTCAAGTATGTGGGCTAGTTAACTTGTGTATCTTTCTGCTTGGGGTGTCCTCGACTAAGGATTTTCATAGTCGAATCGAAATTTTCGAATCTTGCCGATAGTCGACTGATAGTCGAATCATATGTTTGGGGGCAAAAAATAATGTTTTATGTTTTGATTAAAAGATAGTTAACATTAAGCATCAGCGAAACCCTAAGAATTCACAATTTTTTACAATAGTGCTCTCATTATAACGTTATGTATATGACAGTAGTTATTCTGCATTTCTGTTTTGAGCTGCGTGCACTGAAGATGACCTGTAGAATGAAGCATTTGATAGCAGGTTTTTAATCAATGGGATTTAACTCATCATTTATCTCATATAGAATACGCTTTGTTATTTATACAACATAGCGTTAATATTACGACTTAAAGGCTATCTGCACAAAATGCCCCGAATGCACATGAACGTGTCTGCATGGCTGTGAATGAACTCCTTTTGTGGACGAGTTCTTCATGCAACAATGTGCAGAAACACAGCAACTAAACTCTAAAAATTCACAGTGTTTTATTATAATAGTGTTCTCATTATAATGTTATGTGTATGACAGTCCCAGTCATAGTTATTAATATTCTGCATTGTTGTTTGTCCTGCTCGCACTGCGCGCTGAAGAGATAATCACCATAGTACTACAATAAAGCGCTTTACTGCAACCAAATGCATCTTATATGAGATAAATAATATATACACGATATACAGTATATAAACCGGCTGAAAGGTTTTGAAATCACTTGTACCCTACCTGATCGAAAACATTCACTCTTTCACTCTGCCTGCGTCAATTTGAGTTTTGTTAAAGATTATGCTGCCAAGATGCTCCTCTGTCGGTCACGGATTATGGAAAGTGAAACTTAAATCTATAGAGGTGGTTGGATTTATTCACACATGTTAAAATATTTATTTAAAGCTTCTTACTTTTCAGATTCTTATTTACAGCATTATTTTAATAGGCTGTATATTAACTTATTTTGGAGAAAACCAGTAGTTCCATGTGAAATCAGATATTTGAGCACCCCCATATAGCCAAAATGGCATGTTCATAACATCCCTGTGAATATTCGACTGTGAGATTGGTAGTCGAATCAGGCTCCACCTATCGAAGCATCGAATCGTCGACTATTCTGGGTCACCCCTACTTTCTGCATGTGATCTTTGTTTAGAAACTTCTTTTAAAATCTGTTTTTGTGCTCCTGCTGTTTTTAGCTGACTTTCTGACTGTAATTATTGAATACCGAATATTTTTATTTAAACATTTTTATTTTATTTTTTTTAAATCTGGGTTACGGTGAAGCACTTACAATTGAAGTGGATGGGGAAATTAACATTACAATTAGTGGTCAACCAATATAGGATTTTTTGATGGCTAGTGCCAGAACAGGGTGGTGTTAAAAATCCTTTACATTACATCTTTACAAATCATTGACATTTAAGGCATATTGTACAGTTGTATCACTAATTACACAGCTTTTCACCACATAAAATAAAGACAAGGACATAAAATGTTATTTGAGAAGAAGCTCAAATGTTATTTGAGGCGTGAGCTCTGTAACACGGCACTGTTTCATCCCACTTGCAGTGCATTTGGTTTCCCATATGTACAACTGAACACCGGTTCTCTCGGTCTCAGTCAGGTCGCGTCTACCAGCTCTTTGAAGGTATGCAAAGCAGGGGTGTGTACACTGCGCCCTCTTCTGGAGATGGGGCGGGAATATGCAGCTCATTTGCATTTGAAGTGATACACACCAAAACAGCTCTTTGTTAGACATGCCCCAAAATTGACATTTTCCAGCTGTTATAATAAATGAGCTGTGGGGTATTTTGAGATGAAACTTTACAGACACTTTCTGGGTACACCCAAGACCAATATTGTAAGACCTTTAAAAAAATAACATTTATAATTACAACAAATTAGTAATCATTAAAACCTAATAAATACAACCTAATTTTATATTTTCCTTTGATATGGGGTGTTATTTTATACTATAAAGCATGTAGGATCTGATACAGAGCCTAGTGCCCTAAATGATATCACTAATCGCAGTACGCTTTTAACACCTTTATCAGGTTCGAATGCAGATTTTAATCTTTTTTCCTCAAAACACGGTACTGCTGTATGTTTTACACAACAGTGAAACTGTTTCAATAGACATTACCCAGCTAGTTGTTATTGTTCCAAAAATGTTCCAAGAACATTATGCTGTGTTCTGGTAATGTTTTCTGCGGCAAGTTTTATTTTAGTTCCCAGAATATTCTCCTAAAAGTTAGGATAACATTCTCTAAAAACATCCTAAAAATGTTTATTGATAACATTATTAGAGCATTATCCTCTAACATTCTAATTATGATTTAAGCGGGAAACTTTTCATTCGACATTGGATGTGGACTCAGATGTTGCTCAGATGTCAAATTTTGGTTGAAAGTAAAAACCCAACCTTTGTTTTATGATGCTCCAACTTTATTAAATAACTCCAAAACAGCATTACCAGCTTCACTTATTATAAACCAGATTGACTTTATTTCTGTCAGACATTTACAAAAGGTCTTATTGAGATTAACAGAGGTTTAGATGTTGATGTCTGTTTGAAAGTAATAGTTTGGTTTTATGTCACCGTTATGGTGATAAGTGCTTTAGTTGGGCAATTTGAAACTTGACTTCTCAATGTTTTTCTCTATCTGCTGTAATTATATTTGTTATGGCAAAAACCGCAAGAAACCATGTGATTAGATGATGCCAATTGCATGCTGATGATTAAGATATGATCACATAGTGGTCTGATTATCTGATTTCACACAGTGTTAAATAACTATGTTTTAGTTGCACATTATTTATTATAGCAACTCAATGGTTCTACAGACTGAAACCCAGCAGAATTTTAACCAGATTGTTTCAAGGATAAAAAAAAAAAAAAACAATTGTTTCTCACACAAACATCAAGAATCAGTGTATGAATCTCAACAATGGTGACATGCTTCATGCTGCAATGTATTCTGGGTGCATCATACAAAACTCATCCATGGCTCCCAGAATGCATTGCAGCATGAAGCATGTCACCATTGTTGAGATTCATACACTGATTCTTGATGTTTGTGTGCGTCTTAACATTCAGTAGTTCAAAGTGATTTGTGAACAATATGATTTAAAAAGTACAGACAGAAATACAGATTATCTGATAAAACTGCTGGGTCGTATGCTGTTGAATTTGAATTGAATTGATCTTATGTCATACGGAATTAATAGCATAGATTAGACTCTAGATGACATCAGTTAATCAGATCACTACATGATGATATCTATAACATCAGCAAGTAGCCAACATCATCTGATCACATTTTTCTCTCACTGTTTTTGCCGGAACAAACAGTCCCAGCAGCCAAACAAAAACTAATATTGAAAAGTTTGAGTCAAACTGCCTAACTACTGATCCCCATAATGGTGACGTCAAACAAAACTATTATTTTCAATAGCCCATCATCATCTAAAACTGTTAATCTCAATAAGACCTTTTGTAAATGTATGGCAGAAATAAAGTCAATCTGTTTTATAAGTAAAGCTGGTAATGCTGGAAGCTGTTTTTGGAGTTATTTACTCTGGAGCTTGACATCAAACAAAGGTTGGGTTTTCACTTTCAACCAAAATGTGACTTCTGAACAATGTAAGTCCACATCTAGTGTGATGAGAAGCTTTATTAGAATGTTAGAGGATGATGTTCTAACAATGTTATCAATAAACTTTTTTAGAATGTTTTTAAAGAATGTTATCCTACCTTTTAGCAGAACATTCTGGGAACTAAAATAAAACTTGCCACTGAAAACATTCCCAGAACATGAAACATTTCTAGATGGGTAGTTATCAGTCCGTTGAACATGATTTATTTGTGTACATTTCTGTCTCTGTTCAGTTTGGATGATGGAGGACATTTCAGGATTGTTCCAGGACTGAAAAAATGTAAGTCTTCTCTCACGTTTAAACACACCGATGCATATTTAATGATGCCATAGATATTCTGACTTCTATTCCTGTGTTCAGATGCCTTTGATCTCACACTGGATCCGAACACGGCACACACTCGTCTCATTGTCTTTGAAGGGAACAAAAAAACGACATGTGTTAAAGAGCATCAGCCGCATCCTGATCATCCAGAGAGATTTGAGCGCTTTGAGCAGGTTCTGTGTGTTGAGAGACTGACTGGACGCTGTTACTGGGAGGTTGAATGGAGCGGCTGGAGTCATGTAGCAGTGTCATATAAAGGAATCAACAGGAAGGATGAAAGTGACAGTCGGTTTGGACTTAATGAAAAGTCCTGGAATCTTTACTGTTGCAATAATATTTACTCTGTCTGGCATAAAAATAAGAGCACAAATATTCCTTCCCCTTCAGCCTTGTCTAATAGAGTAGGAGTGTATCTGGACGTGTCGGCCGGCTCTCTGTCCTTCTACAGCGTCTCTGACACACACACACTCACACACTTACACACATTCAACACCACATTCACTGAACCTCTCTATGCTGGATTTGGACTTTATAATGATTCCTCAGTGTCTCTGTGTCAGATTTAACATAATCTGGTGAGAATTTGTTTATACCTAGGTCTGTCTGAATACTCAACTCTAATTGGCTGGAAGGTGTGCTTTAAAGCTTTTTGATGCACATGTCGTTCCAGTCAGTTTAATCATGTTCCATATTAATGCACTACTTTCAGTGCACACAGAGAGAGAGAGAGAGAGATTGTGCTGCAGACACAGAAACATTCAGGAGCATACAAACTTGTTGTCAACGTTGTCCTGCAACTTACCTTAATAAAATAGCGTTGATACTCAATTGCTATACTATATGTCTTAGCAAAGAGAGGTAACATCGGTGCTTCTGATGTAATTCAACTCACAGCTTAACTATTAGAGAGACCTGCACAGTTCAATTTAAGGCATTATACAGACATGCATTTCCATTGTAACGTAAGTGTGTTATTAGGCTTGTTTCGCATTGCATGCTTAAGCAGTACATATGCCATTTATTCTAGCAGCCATATTAACAGCTCAGCATTCATACTGCCCACATTAGCAGTGCTGTGCAGTAGAACACTTTACTAACCTATAACTGTAACCAAAGGTGCTTATTATAGATCTCATTTTATTAAAACTATTTTCTATTCAACATTGAACTTCTGATCTATCTTTTATCAGGGTTTCTGTGGGTCTGTGATATGGTGTAATGTGACATGGTTTAATTTCCTCCCCATGACCATTTTGAAATAAACAACCCATTTCATGTGTTGTTTTGCATCATTCCCATTCCACTTCTCGCATGTGTTTTATGATAAAATGTGTTTTGGGGACTGGATAGAGTCGTTGGGTGGCAGAGCTGTTGTCATCACGCGTAGTGTGTGACCCGCTGTTGCGGATCATTTATGTAGTGTCACGTAGTGTGAACACCACAATGACTTCAAGACAGACAGAAAGTCATGTAGGCTGAGCAGCACAGCAATCTGCAGACATTTAAAGTAATGTAGTATGAACTAGGCTTTAAGTGTAACATGATGAAAGTCCCACCTCTGTTTATATTACAATTAGTGTAATACATTTTAAATTCCAGTGCGTAGAGGCAAAACGGCATTTGGTGGCTGGAAAAAATAATATTCATATGTAATGCCATAGTTTAACCACTAGATGCCCGTATGGCTGTTTAATAAATATACATGTATAGCTCTAGAACAGGGGTGCCCAAGCTCGGTCCTGGAGGGCCGGTGTCCTGAAGAGTTTAGCTCCAACCCCAATTAAACACACCTGAACCAGCTAATCAAGCTCTTACTAGGCATACTAGAAATTTGAAGGCAGGTGTGTTGAGGCAAGTTGGAGCTAAACTCTGCAGGACACCGGCCCTCCAGGACCGAGTTTGGGCACCCCTGCTCTAGAACATTTGTGGTCATAATTACTTACTTATTTTTTTAGATTTTGCATTTGAATGTATTTTTAGATATTATCAAACACTCGATTTTTATAAGTTTAGATTTTTTTTAAATGATAAATTTAAAAAGGTTAACTACTCATATCTCAGTGTTATTTTATGATATTCGCAAAAGTACAGTCATGGCCAAAAGTTTTGGCAGTGACATAAATTTTGTGTTTTGTAAAGTTTGCTGCTTCAGTATATGTAGATTATTTTCCCACACGTTTCTATGGTATACTGAAAAACATAAGTTTTAAAGGCTTTTATTGGCAAAACATTCAATATTGGTAAAATTGGTAAATAAGAGTCAATATTTACAGTGTTGAGCCTTGTTCTTCATAACCTCTGCAGTTCGCTCTGGCATGCTGGATATTAGCTTCTGGGCCAAATCCTGACTGATGGAGATCCATTCTTGCCTTATTAGCTCTCGGAGTTGATCACAATCTGTGGGCTTCTGCTTGTCCACTCATCTTGTGAGGACTGACAACAGGTTCTCTGTGGGATTGAGATCCGGGGAGTTGCCTGGCCACGGATCCAAAATTTCAAT